TATCTAAGCACTCCGGCTTCCGACTCATTACCGGAGTATTGCATGCCGTGCCACTGTGATTGCCCATGCTCGTAAACCTTATTCGTATTCAATTGTTGTTTGCAACTCTTTCGTCATCCCATTGGGATTATTCAGAACGCATTCTTGACCTAGTAAATTGTCTTATCTTTTTCCTTGCCGTTTTTTGCAAGCGCTTTGTTTTTTCGCGTTACATTATTTCCTGGTTCTCGTTTTGACCAGCGTTTTCTGTTTTCCATTAGACGGAGTTTTCATAAATATTATTTTTGAGACGAAGGCCTTGTCAGTGTCTGCTACTTTGGGGATCCACTTATTCTCGTTCGCTCTGTTGCATACGAAGCAGTTCTTTTTTCCTGCCTTGTACGCAACGTGACACTCTTAATTAAAGTATGGCATTTCCCGTTTGTTTCCACCCATTCAGTGCCCCGCTAGTAGCTAGCTGCAGCTTTCACCCTGCACTCTCAAAAACACAACTCACCTGTTATCTGAAGCTGACCCATGGTTGCTTGTTACCTGAACCCTAAGCAACTCCGATGTCATTTTCAGTTGACACCAAGTTGCAAAATGGCCACCCCCTGAGATGGACAAAAATAGGCAATATTAATCAGAGTGATGTGTTTAGAATGGTAGGCTGCAAAGAACATATTTTTGTCAAGAAAATTTGTGGGTTCACTTCCCTTTTAAAGCTTTATTGAGACAGCACCTTCCTACCTGGAAGGAACTCAAAGTGCCTAAATAGCGTTACTTCAGTCACGAAATGATTAACAATGGTGGCTTGGACTCCCATGGAAGGCTGTGGATCAACTCTTGAAACACGAGCCCCAAGCACTTTGGAATGTTTGTACATTCTTGGCACTTTTGGCCTGTTTTTATTTTTAATCTATAAAAAAGTGAACGGAAATGGTTCATTGGCGAGGAAGGTTATCTACCGCAACCCTCCAAGCTTTTGTGCATTTTTTTTTTTTTTATTCAAGGAAAAGCAACAGATTTTTTCAATACCTCAGAGTCCAATTAGGGCTGCCAAGATATATGTCAACTAGTCACGACGACGTCGACGATCAAAATCATCGTTTGTGGCAGCCCTGAGTCCGGCTACATTATTGCAGCTGTAGCTTGATTAACAAAGTGGCAATGCCTTCAATTAAAATCTGCTCTCTTCTAAGATGTAAACAGCAGGAGATAAAACCTGTAATGATGATCCCTTTTATCTATTTATTTATTATTTGGGTAGTCTTCAGCAAAAATCTATTGGACGCATCCTTTAAATAGAAAACCACTTGGCTGAGGGCAGGTTGCAAAATATCCAACTGCACGCGTCTGCTCTCAGCATGCAAGAATGAAGCCAGTTGTGTGTGTTTTGTCAGCAGAGACAGTTTTGACAGTGCTGCGTGCACACTTGGCAGAATGCGGCAAGTGGAGCTCAAGTGTTTCCCAGGTTAATTAAAAGATGATCCCGTCTCACACATCTGGCTGTGAAGTTGTCAAATCCAATGAGCAGAGACAAGTCAAAGACTTTCCAAAGAAAAGGGAAGTTGCACTCAGGCAAGTGAGATGGAAACAGACATTTTCCGAGCCCAGTAGAATTCTTGTCTGCGCCGTCTCCACTAGCACCTGCCTGGAGACTTTGGCTCTAATTATGGCTTTGTGTTCATTCACACTCCCTTGGAATGATCAAATCTATATTTTCTGTAAAATTAATTACAACCCAAACATCCTCAATGGTGCGCCAATGTAGGGCAAATCATCTTGAGTTTGTTTTCACTTAACCAGGTGAATTTCAACATGTAAAGCGTCAGCTTCACTCATGGTTGTTGCTCACTTTTACTCAGTGACATTGCCGGTTTCCCGCTCCCTCCGCTGAGACGAGAGCTCATCCCACAGTTGTCGGCAGGTGGCGACGACAAAAATGGTCTTCTTCCATCACTGCAGTTCTCTTTCCTTCCCACTTATTTTTCCAGGAGGGTCTTAGTACTTGCACGTTTACAACAAAGAGCAAATTAATATTTGTTTATTTAACATCTAAAAATATACAGTAATAAATTGACAGAAAGTGAAGGTAAGTAAAATTGCAAGAAAGTAAAAGAAAACAGTCTTCATACCGCACAATTATATGTTCAAAAGAGTAGGAAGAAGTAAAAAAAATGTATCTAGTCGTACCCCTTGTTATGTAATAGTATATAAATTGATCATTTTTTATATCAATCAGAAAAGAAAAGGAAAAGTTTGCCCAAAAACAAATGCTTTTACCCTTATGTGTGCTATATACTTATCTTGTTTTACAACTTTTGGTATGTATAGGAACTACATACATACACACTCGAGCACATTTATATGTCGATTTTCTCTTGTAAGAAAAGAAGGGTGCACATAATTTCACTCTGGGTTTTCACAAGGGCACCAGATGTTGTTCAGTCGATCGTGTTCAAGGTGAAATGTCAATGTTATTGGCTGCATATGTGTATGTGGACACCATACCGGTGTTGTTTTTTTTTTTGTAATTAAAAAAAACTTTGTCGTGTTTTTACACAAATGCCCACAGCCAAAATGAATTGTAATTTTCTTGAAAGCAACATGCCGATGGTTGGATGTTAAATACCCCAACGTTTTCAAATGCAAGGACAAATCTGACTATGTTCGCTTGCCAAAGAAAGCTCTGATTTGCTATGAGCATAACAGTATATGTTATGCAGCAGTTGTAGGCTTTCAGTGCACCCTTCTTTCTTGCATTTATGTTGACATTGAGGACCTCTCAATGAGGTACAAATTGGAAACACCACCACATCTTCTTTGCTGTCTGCGTCTATATGCACACATGCCTGCACATGCACTTCCATCTCAGAAGTGTCCCACAGCACAAAAATAGGGACCTTGCAGACTGGCGATAGTGACGCAGGCGGCCATAGTACTCTGCCGATAATGGCCATCTTGTGGCAGCCCAACGAGCCATGACAGGGTGTCTTTAACGCTGGCTCTCTGCCGACGACAAAGGCTGTGGCAGACCATCTTTTTCTTTCGAGGAGGATCCATTCATCCCCAAGCTGCCCAGATACTTCGATTACACTTGCATATGCTATTTCGAAGTGCTCTTGAAAATATGAATGCGACGAAGTAGAGTTGCTCTCAAAGGACAAAACACGGACAAGGTTGTATGCGATCCAAATGATCCATTCTTTCAAAATTAGTTACATCAATCCTGTGGGAATTTCATAACTTGGGAGTTATTTCACACTTTAAAAAAAGAAGATGAAGTGCAATATGTCCACCGCAAAACAGAACTGCGTACTAAAACATCACATCTACGATCCCCCACATCAGGTTATCCATTTGATGTTAGGTAACTTGCCTTGCACCGCTTGTTAGAGCGTATTGTAATGCTATATAAGTGTACACATAACCACTGGTACACTTTTAACAGTTTATTCAACAGAAGATAACAAAAGAAATGCAAAACAAGGACATTCATACACAAGCTTCAGTGCCCACAACTGAAAAAGAGTCACTCAACTTGCAAACTCGCTCGCGGTTAGCCGCTTGACAGCCAACTGATAACCTGTGCTAACAGCAGCCCACTGCACTCTTACTCGCTTACTCCCATGTCAATCAACAGGTGCGGATGTTGGGATCAATGTAATTCTGTGATCCCATATTTACTCTCAGTGTAACGACGAAACCTTTGCTCCAGAGTGCGATTTCGCAAATACTGTACCTCATTTACAATGGGGTAGGTTTATTATGGGAGACTTGTCGGCGTGGGAGAGCCCAGCCGGCTCCTGTTCTGGCTCTTAAGTTAAAATCCTTTTGTTAAGTTAACGGCTTCTGATCAAATTAACTATTGCTTGTGAGAAGATAACATCAACCCCAGGACACAATGTGAGGGACATCCACAGCTGTGTTCGCGGACCACCGACATCCAGCAGGAGCCGTCTGACACCTCAGGAATGAACTGTGTGTTCTCATTGAAAATCTCCTTGACTGAAACTGTTGTGAAATGTGCAAATACTCCCCACACCCATTCGAAGCTCGTTTATCAGGGACATCCTTTCAATAAATGCAAGAAGACAAACGTGGTCTCTTCAGAGTTGCCCCGGAACCTGTAACGGTTTACATGGCAGAGCCAGCTGGAGAGCTGCTCCGAGATTGTGAACTCAGACATGTTTTAGCGCACTCTCTTGCAAGAAACACAACCATGCCTGCCTCCTGAGTCTTCCTGTTCCTAATGTATTCCTAGCGTCAGATTACCAGCATAAACCTAACAGCGGACATTAATTTATTATTACTACAATGGATAACGTGAGGTCCTCCAGATACACGCAACTAATACATGCACCTCAGATACACATTTGTCATTGTATTTTATGGTGGTATTTTTGTTCAATAATGCAAAATTGTTTTCCATGCAACTTTATGAAGGAAAAGTGTGGCCCCCAATACACAAAAAGTTAAGTGCCCCTGCTCTAAATCAGAGTGTCTCCTTACAACATGGCAATGGCAGCAAGAGTAGTTGTGACCTCGGCAATCAGCTGATGGTCACGCGGCCCGCTTCCTGTCATCCTGGGCTCAGTTCAAGTTCGCATGCGTTAAACTCTTCAACATTTATTTGAGTTTCTTTGTGCACCCAAATGTGCATTAAAGGGTGTGAACGTGATCACCTCACTCTCATTACAGCTCTCTCTCTCTCTCTCTCTCTCAAGAATAGGCACTTTCTCTTTATCTCCACTCCAAGCTTGATCAGTGCTTGGCTGAAATGCGGCCCACAGAATAATTGTGGATCATTTGTTCATATTCATTTGATAGTCTTTAACTGTGACTCTTTAAGGCACCGCGCTCCTTTTCAAGGACTTTCAGTCACTTTCCATCTGCTCCTATCCATTTCACACAATCTTGCAGCTTCTGGATCTTTCACTTAATGGCTTGCTGAAGCAGAAGGCACGGCTGGAAGGGTTAGCGTCTCTACTCAAGGTCACAGTCCCAAATGCCATCAGGAGCGTGTGATTTATGAGTTAGCACTGCTTCTAAAACGGAGTGAGTCTTTATTTATATATTAGTTTTTTATTTTAACTTCTGCCTGCGCAGTAATGAATTAATTTTCCATAAGCTCTGCTTGTGCTGACTCCCCAAAATCTCCCACTTAAATTGGGCAATGTATTCAAAGTGGAATTTGGTGCATTTTCATTGATAAAAAAAAAAAGTTTTTCTTTTGTCCACGGTGGTGACAATTTTTAGTTGGATCACATGCAAATTTTGTGTGCCATGTTATCTGTAAATATCGGAAGTTTGCTTGAACGGTCTCTGTTCTTAAAGGAATTGACCCGGTAGTTCCAAAATGTAAGGCTTCAAACAAAGGTGACCATGCCCCCTTTTTGAGGAACATATTAAAATTCGGTTGGTCATCGCTCCCAAACCCCTGCTCCGATTAATCTAAAATTGGATATTTAGATTTGTGTCCTTACTGTCAACAAGAACAGCAAGTTTCATTCAAAACAAAATGCACTGGGTTGCAGATTTTGGAGGGGATTTAGCATGGAATTACCCATATACAGTATGCGTTTTCCATTATCTGTTAGCATTAACATTAGGCGAGCAGACCACAGGTTACGGTATGTTATGTACTTTGTGTCAAATAAATACAAATGTAATTCTCCTAGTTTTAGCTTGACAGTAAACTTTAATTGCGAGTTTTCAAGCCCCCCCTTTTTTAAAGAATTGTAACTTGAGTTCACTGCCACCATTCAGCACTTGTATCTCAAGTTTGTGCTCACAAGTCAAAGCAAAAAAATCAGCAGATTGACGAAATTGGGACACTCTTATCTCAAGGCACCACTGTACTTTTACTGTGTATTTAATACATGCGCTAATATGCATGCATACCAAGAGAAACAAAAGATGCATTCACCCTAGGCTAGTTCAATTACGTGCCTTGGTCTCGTTACGGTTGGAGGCAGATGGCCGCTCTGGTTGCTCACTGCAGGTAGATTTATCCTGGTTGAAGCAGTGACGTCGGCATCCTGCCACTTGTTTCCTGCATGGGGCTACTTATACATGTGCATGGGACTTAATCCCTTCTCCACGTTGTGTGTAATCCTATTTTTCTTTGTCTTTCTCCCGATTTTCTCTGTACTCCGTGCACATACCTCATTTCTCTCCTATACTTGCTGTTTCATACCCTCTGCTATGCCACATGTGATTTCATTCTGTCGCCTGTTCAAAGTTAACCTGATAGTAGAGAGTTCTGACTTGTCCTGCCAATTTCCCAGCAAGCCATTGATGTTCATTGCTGACTTTCATGCTATGACTTCAATGCAAGTCTCGGCTCTGCTGCTTCTCAAAGATGACTTCATGTCTGTATTACTTTTCATCTGGGATAAACTCACATAATTGTCTGCATTGAAAGCAGAACAACATGTCAAGGGATGAATAATTTACTCTGCAATGTGCTGTTTGCTGGGACAGTGTAAACATGTGCATGGCAGCTGCTGTCCACCCAGACAGTGTTTCGAAAGGCTCAAAAGTGCCACCATAAGGTTGTGTGGCACTGTGCATAACATTGCCAAGGCCAAACAAGGATACCTACCTACCTGCTGCATATCCTTTGTTCCCTAGCAAATTGTCAAATATGTAAAAAGTACCAGTAATGCCTGTGAATATTCTCATTCATCCAGGTTATTTTATTCTCAGGGCCTGGAATCATCCCAACAGGACTGTTCTGGTTGTCTTCGAATATGTTTCACCTCTCATCCTAGCCGGCTTCATCAGTTCTTGCAAGAGGCTAGTTTGGATAGCACTAGCCTGTGGGAAATTCAACTATTGATCCGTCAAGGAAGAAGTAGTGCTGTCCGAATTAGCCTGTTGCATGAACTGATAATGCTGGATGAACTGATAGCTTGGATAAGAGGCGAATGATTTAGTAATATAAAAAAAAAAATGTGTGTGTGTGTGTGTGTGTGTGTGTGTGTGCGTGTGTGTGTGTGTGTGTGTGTGTGTGTGTGTGTTTGGGGTTCTGGACCTCTCTCTAAATCCACTAACAAATGGAAGAGGCAAATGAATCCTGAAATGCCATGCTCGTGAATCTTACAATTGTAGAATGAATCACAATCCTGTGTTTGTGGACTGGGATGGTCACCCAGTTGCTGGCCAATCTGCTCACCTTGTGCAAATGTGTGCATTTTTGCATGCTCAAAACAACTGAAAAAAGCCAGCATCAGTTGAATTACAGCTCTTTTTGAAAGGTCTTGCATAACTTTGGTTTCTAAACACGTCTTCTTTTTTTTTTTTTCTTTCAACTACTTTGCGCCATGCACGATGAGGTGGATTCAAGTAAAGCAGCCACAACAGATCCTCGGCAGACTCCATTCTTTTTCTTTTGCCCAGCTGGATGAGTAGGTTTGGAAAGATCCCTCCCCTGCCCGGTGAGGGATAAATTAAGCACGAAAAATTGGAGTCTATCTACGGAGTTCAGCCTCCGGGCGATGCTCCAGCCCTTGGAGCCAATTGCTCAAATGGAAATGAAAAGAAGGGGGACGATTTGTGAAACGTACATTTACAAATCGATGAAGGTGGCACCGACAGCAGAAAGCGCTACGGAGGGGCTGAAGTGGAATGCTTCCAAAAGCTTTGTTTGAGCTGATAAGCAACATAAATTTACCAAGCAGCAACACAGTGAGTAAAGTTTACATCTTTTCAGGCCAAGGCTGCGGCTAATGTGAGAGAATGTACACGGTGCCTTCAGATACACTCTTCCAAATGATGTAGTTTATATATGGTGTAAATCTCAGACGAGGTTTTGAGCATAGTTAAAGGAAATTGGATTGTTTACAGAGGCAGCATGGTTGGTCGACTGGTCAGCACGGCCACCTCACAGGTATGATTGTGAGTGCGAATGGTTGGTCCTCTGTGTGTGCCCTGCGATGTACTGGCAAGCAGTTCAGGGTGTACCCCGCCTACTGACAGCTGGGATAGGCTCCATCACGCCCCCGCGACCCTCGTGAGGATCAGTAGTTCAGATAATGGATGGATTGTTTTACTTTAAATAAGTTTATAGAAATATTGCAGTTGTTTTCAAGGTCAAATGTCATGTGTTCAACATACTTAAATATAGTAAACTTCATTTCTTTATTGTGCATGTTTGCACACTCATGCGAAACACCGTGCGACCACACACTGCAGAAAATACCATGGAAGCTTTGGCTGCTATTGGTATAAAGGGAGAAAACTCAGCGTGGCCACCATCATCCCCTGACTGCAACCCAATGGAGAGGCGTGGAGCATTCTAAAAAGGAAGATTAAAAGGAAGAAAGTGGCTTCATATGCAAGCCAGTGGCACTGTGTCCAAGTATTCAGCAGGGTGTTGTTCAGCGGCACTTGGAGCCAACCCTTTGCTTTATATGACAAACAAGCCTGTGTGTTTTAGGAGTTTTGAAGGTCAGCGTGATTTATCTTAATTCCACTATCGGTGTTTACGATGAGGTGCTCAGAGGCTAGACATTGCGGTGCGCTGAATCCATCCGAGACATCTGCACACTTTTCAGTGTTGACTGCACATCATCTTTTATTTCAACAGCAGATCAGATCAGCAACGACAGAAGCACTCTTGGGAAACTGTAAGTGAGGGTAGGATGCGTGGCTTGTGGGGGGGGGGGGGGGGGGGGGGGGGGGGGGTCCTGTGGGACAGTCTGCTGTGTTTGCCGTACATGCAGTACATCACCCCAGCTTCAGCCTAGATAACCTGCCAACCAACGGCTCTGTTATCTGGACGTGCTTCGAGCTAGGGGAGCCCAGTGTTTACAACTGCTCTCATGCCCATATCACACAGGGCATAAAACTACTCCACTATAATAAATTCTTGCTATCACACCAGGCATGAGTCGTAGTTTGCTTCAGCAGATTTAGTGATACCACAAGGCTCTAATGAATTCTCTCCCACCGCACATCTATTGAGCCTGGGCATCAAGACTATCCAACCGGCCAGTGTTATCAGTGCAGTGCTGTTGATAATGAGCCTTGTGGGGCAGGTTGGTGTGTGCATGGGGGACCTGTCCAAGGTTCTGGCGCCGTAATGAGGAGGCTGTGTTAGAGGTGCAGGTTGCCGACTGGACCAGGGTCAGCTCTGGAGCTTGCTAAAAAAAAGAGCATAATTTTGGAAATGTGTGCTCATTTCGTCCCGCATGATCCATCACTGCTGCACCCGAGTGGCCCCGCCCTCTGTCCACCTCCTACATTGTAAATTGGCAGGCGTGTTCCGACTCCATCTGTGCAAATATTCCTGATGCAAGCAAACATTTGTAGATCGCAGACGGGTTTGTGAAACCTTCACAGTCAGACCTTCATATGTGCAGTGTGTGTTGGTCAAAATAATCAGATTGATGGTGTGTCTAAATTGTTTGAATATTACTGAATTATTTGAATAAAGATCATTAGGAGGTGTCAGTTGAATTTTACCATATCACGGAAATAGAAAAGGTGTTTTTTTTGTTGTTTTTTTTTAAAGTCTAACCTAGATTTATTGATACCTTCTTGTTCTGGGCTGCCGTCCAGTTCAGAGGGTAGTCTGCCTTCCGCTTGAAGTCAGGTGCTATAGGCTCCAGCAACTCCCCGCGACCCTCTTCAGGATAATACCTGCAAAACTGAAATGAGTTAATGGTTTAATAACCTGGGTAACCAAGTGTTTGAGCAAAACGCCCGTGGACTACTTTGGACCAGCGTCTCATATTAAATGTGTCAAAGCTTGTGCAAGCTTGACCAGACTGAAATTGATTTGTTTTGCTGTTAAAGGTGCCAGAAGCTCATTTTCAAATGTGGTGAAAAAGTATAAATCATCAGCATTTGCACCGCAAGTGCAAATATAATTTATATGGAATCTAAATACAGCATTGTAGCTGTGAGGCAGTCACCTCTAGACAATTATATAGTGGATGAAAGTGAAACATTTGCAAATGACTTGGCTTGAGGTTCACAATGTTTCAGGTTTTCAAAAAATAATAATAATAATAATAATACAACCACTGCAGACTAAATTCCTATTTGCTTTTGAGACCATAAGTAAGACAACAGAACCCTCACTGCGCAGACCTCTCTACCTTTTTTGCATACATTTATGTTGTCGTTTTGTTTGTTTTTTTTCATAATGGTGCCTTGTTCTTAACTCGTTCTTTGTTACAGACCTTTTATATTTGTCAACTGGAGTCCATTTATCAACTGGAATCCAGCAGTTTACTGACAGAAAAATATCTATCCGTTAAGTATGTTTTTAAGCAAGTCAGAGTGAAAGAGAGTCTCGTCCATCTGTTCTGTGAAATTCGTGTTTTTAAACCAATGTAATTGCAAACAAGTCCCTGTAGATGGCAGCTTTGCATCGTTTAAGATTTGAGATTAGCACAGTTTTTGAGTTGAAGATAAAGACAGAGATTAGGCGTTGAATCTCGGTTTGTCACGTTGATTTACTAGAGAGGGAGAGGAATGCCATCACATTCAAAGTCGGACAAGTATATGCTCATCACACTCAGAGTATATTGTAGAAACACAGGATGTGTTGCAGCATGTTTAAAAGAAAAAGTCCCTGATGTTCACCATACGGTGAATCTGCATCACTCATGGCACTTTTCACATTTATATAGCTGTTAATGTTATTTTGCCATCAAAAGGTCTTTCTCAGCATTGTTTTTTGTTTTTTTTTATAATTTGAGCTGTCACAAAAAGCACGACATATTTGCGTCAGACATTGTTCTGCTAAACATATTTCTTTTCACAAAGAGCTCATTTTTACTGATCTTTGGTCAACAACTTTTTTTTTTTAAACCAGCCATGTTCTACTGCTTCCTACGAAGGAAACTTTTTGATGAAAAGATGAAAGTATACTCATTGATGATAAGGTAGGTTCAGTGCGTGTACTGTCACAGGAGACACACTGTTCTGTGTGTCTTGAAAGATCCATCAAAATTCTCTGGTAATATGGGTAACTTCTTTGAAAACGGATTGAGTTAAAGACGAGGATGAAATTGAGTGAAAGTTAAAAGAAAAAGTCAACTCGCTTGTCTGCTTCAGTGTTTGTGCCATCACCAAATGATGACTGAACACATCAGTCTGCATTTTGTCTGCTTTTGAGAACTGAATTCACCGGACTTCCTCCTTCATGTCTGCTGACTTTCCTTGGCAAACCTGTACCACTAGGATGCAGGCCATGGATCCCGGATTGTAAATAAGAATGCTAATTAAGTGAGCTCCCTCATCCACATTCTTGGAATAACTAATAAACATAATAACTGAATCAACATGCCAGCCTATAGTGTGCACATTAGCATAAAGACCCATTTTCATGAGGAACCCTGCGTCTAATGCTATTGATTTTCAGCTTGAGCTTGATTAATATAAGAGTATTCATTTCCCTGCTGCTCCGCGTTGAGCAGTGATTTTCATTTGCAGCCTCCACATTCACCAGACTGAAAGTATATGCTTACCTCCGTCGATTTGTGACACTGGAACCAGTGTTGATACCACCACTGGATGGCAATTTCCACTCAAAAGCAAGCTATTGATTCACAACATAGTACATGTTGTCGAGCCTGTAGTTCATCTGAAGCTGCCAGCATATGATGGATGCTTCTCCGCGTTGAGAGAACTCTCAAGTCCGTATGTTAGAAGAGGGATTGTCTTTTGCGAACACTCTCAACTAGGCTGCTGTGAGACCGGAATACGTGGGACTCAACCCAGTTTCTATGGTAACAAAAGTCATCTTAAAGAGACATGGGTGGTGCAAAGAGGAAGAGAGGAATGTTTTGGAATCCAGAGGAAATCAGAAAAGCAAGAAGCCTGCGACTGTACTAGCCACATTACAATGCAACCTCCTGAGATAGCAATGCTGAGTTGTAATAGACACTTTCAACAATGTATTAATTGAACAAACACCTGCTGAAGTGTTTCTGAACATGAAATTATGTACTGTATAATTAATTACATGAAAGTAAATGATGAGATCTAGTGATGAGAAATAGCTATAGTTAAATCGTGTGACTGTTTTATCCTCTCAAAGCCAAAAACTTTGATTCCTTGAGTTCTAGTACAGTATTGCATCCCATCAGATTCTGTGGCCACTGAGTGGAACGCATGGGTGGCTGCAGGAAATTGGAATTCATTCAGAAAGCATTTCAAGGTATTTGCAGTGATAGTGTGTAGCTCAGTCGGTCCTTTTCCATGTTTTAAAGTTGTGTTTGTGCTCTCCAGAAGTGAGATTTTGGTCTGGGACAGCAGCGGGAATTGCTCCTCTCCCACCACAGAGGAGCTCATGTGCAACAATGTGGAAAGAGCTTCAGCCAAGATAATGCACTTGCTGGATGTATGTTTACAGAAACGTAAAACGAAAAAAAAAAAAGAGGGGGAAAAAAAGTGAGGGAAGAAGAGCCGCAGGCAACCATGGCAGAATAACACACTTA